ATTGATTAAGTATATCTGTTTAATTGTATGTCTATCTGTTGACTGTTTGATTATTTGTTCATGCCTTTGCGTTTAAATTGCGAATTGAAGGCCTTATTGGCGGCCGAATCTGAAATTGATTGATGATTTGTGATCCTTAGAATTAATGTGATTTTATGGCATATTCAGTTAAAATGTGATTTGGTATGATTAAACTAGATTAAATTAAGCTAAATTGCATTAGGTGGACATAATTGCCAAAATGCCACTTAGTGGCCACTATCTCATACATTTAGAGGCTTGCATACTTTTGACACAAACACACTTCATCAACCATTTGTTGTCCACAACCGACTGTATAGAGAGAGAGAGAGAGAGAGAGAGAATTGACCTGATCTTGAGGGTTTGGCTAGAAAACTTGAAGGAATTGTTAGAGAATTGTCAAATTGAGCTCCTAGACCTTGAATACAAGACCTAAGGTAGTGTAATACCCTCTTGTTTGTGAATTGAACTTGTTCTTACATGATTCATGTCAAATTTAGTGGATTAAGTCATGAAATAGCTTCACATGTTGAATTATAACTTAATTCATGCATGCATGGTTGTATTGATGAATTTTAAGTTGTTTTCATGGCAAATTGTCACATGCATGTTCATAATTAAGCTTAAGTCCATGATTTCATCTTGTTTTGGGGAACAATTGGCTCACTAGAGCATCAAATTGAAGCTTTGAAATGATTTGGATTTCATGCATGTCTTGGTTGTAGCATGTTCATGAAAAATTGGTTTGAAATTGAATTGTTTGAAACACCCTTGGGCTTTGATTTTACAATTAAGCTTTGGAATCATGTTAAACTATGAGTTTTGGGATGTTTTCTGGAAAATTGGCCCAAGAGGATCGAAATTTATGTTTTAAAAGTTGAATTTGAGCTTGCGGTTCAAATCTGGGAATTCCATATTTTAAACTCACGCTCGAGCGGGGTGACTGGCGCTTGAGCGTGAAATTCGTGCTCCTAGTACTTTGCACTGTTTTGAAGTCCGCTCAAGCGGAATGATTGACGCTCGAGCGGGACTTTGTGTCTCATGCTCGAGCGGGTGTCAAGCGCCCAATCGAGCGTGATTTTCACCTATCCAGCACTTTTGACTGTTTTGCAGAGCAGGTAAGTCTACGCTCGAACGGAAACCTTTGTCTGCATGTCCGCTCGAGCGGAGTAACATACGCTCGAGCGTGACCCCTGTTTTCTAAAAATTCTGAAAATGCTTTTAAAGTGCATCTTTGCATCCTCATCCCATCCTAGGCATTCTTAGGCCTATTTTAAGACATCTTAATGAGGATATAGATGTAGAACACACCGTGGCAAATTAGAGATTAAGTTGTTATCTTTCCCAACTGTGTAGCTTAGTGTGTGTTCAATCTGTAACTGTGTAGGGTTGGCGACTGGAGACGCGCTCTAGTTTTACTGTAGCCCAGAACTCTGTGAGTAACAACTGTGTAAAGATATGTTCAAAATGATTATCTTCTGAACAATCGAACTGTACTGCTTTCTGAACTGATATTGTTAATTGAATGAATGTATGTCCTATATTCTGAACTGTATTGTGGCATCCTTAGCAACTACTGTTTACTGTTATTGTTACAGAGATCTCTGTCGGTTCCCTTGTTGGAACCACTACTGTTACTGATTGATGGCCATCATTTACTGTCCGGTCTTTTAAGACCTACTGTTACTGTACTGTTGTGCTAATGGATGTACCACATATGACTGAATGACTGATATACTGAATTAATGAACTGTTTTCATTACTGTAAGGACATTCATTCTTAATCTCTTTACGCATTACGTTATTCACTGGGCTTTAGCTCACTGCTCATATATATATGTAGGTGTACAGGCACCAGACCGTGGTTAGAAGCGTCGGGGTAAGCTCCAGTTTTGTCAAGCCAACCACTGTGCCTCACTGCGAGGTTCCGAACCCATCAAGTTATGGCTTAGGGGTGTTTTAGTTCCCCCTTCTGTCTCTGTAACTGTTTTGTTTACTGTACTGTACTGTTTAATAGGGATTAAGTCCCTGTTCTGAATGACTGCATATATTGTACATACTGTTTTGTCTGACTGTATATATTTTAATGAAAAGTCTTTTTGCATACAGACTGTCACAGCTCATTGGACATTATTTATTTACTGTATTAGTTTCCGCCAGGCCCCTGTACTCTACTTTTCTATATCACTGTTAAGTAGGCCTTCGGTAATCTCGGATTACTGGCCGGTTACAGTGCTAAACCCATAGGGGCGGGTTTGGGTCGTGACACTGAGAGCCTGTTCCCAAATGAACCCTTCTGGTGAAATAAGTACTACTCCTGCCCCCAAGCCTCGGTCATTGGATGATCCATCAACATAGAGCTGCCAGATGTTTCCAATAAAGAGTTTCCAAGCTTCTGAAGCGCAGGGTTTTCCTTGTTCGGTAGTGCATGGCACCTGTGCCGAACTCAGATCCCACAGTTCGGTACTCTGGGTGGGAGCAAATTCTGCGACAAAATTCACTAAGACCTGAGCCTTGATCGCTGTCCTGGGTTGATACCGAATGTCAAACTCACCAAGTTCTACCGCTCATTTTGCTGTTCGACCTGAGAAATCAACTCGGCTGAACACAAATCTGAGGGGGAATTCAGTGACAACGTTAATGGTATGCCTCTGGAAGTAATGTTGCGGCTTTCTTGAGGCGATAAGCAGCATGTATACTAACTTTTCCAACGGTAAATACCGTGTCTTGGCGTCTAGTAAAGTCTTGCTAACATAATAGACAGGCCTCTGTCCCTCGTCAACTTCTCGAATTAATACTGCGCTCACAGCGTGATCTGAGACTGCTAGATAGAGGTACAGCTCCTCTCCTTGTTCTGGAGTGGACAGAGAGGAGGTGTACTGAGGTATCTTTTGAGGCTTTGCAGTGCTTCGGTACATTCGTTATTCCATTCGAATGCTGTATTTTTCCTTAAAAGCTGGAAGAAGTGCTTCATTCGATCTGAGGATTTGCTAATAAATCGATTCAGTGCGGCCGCCATTCTGGCCAACTTCTGCAGCTCTTTAGCCTTTGTTGGTACTTCAAGATCTCGTATCGCTCCGATCTAATCCGGATTCGCTTCAATTCCTCTGTGAGTGACCATGTAACCCAAGAACTTCCCTGTTCCTACCCCGAAAGTGCATTTCGAGGCATTGAGACGAAGCTGGTGGTTTTTTACGATGCCAAAAACTTCTCTCAAGTTCGTGAGATGGTTTGCAGCGAGCTTGCTTTTTACTACCATATCGTCTATATATGCTTCCATGGTTTTTCCCAGTTAGTCCTTGAACATCCGTGTAATCATTCGCTGGTAGGTTGCCCCGGCGTTCTTGAGGCCGAATGGCATTACTTTGTAGCAGTAAGTTTCCCTTGGAGTGATAAACATTGTCCTTTCTTGATCCGGACCGAACAGTGGTATCTGATGATAGCCGCTATAAGCGTCCAGAAAGCTCATGCGCTCATGCCTTGCTGTTAAGTCTACTAGTTGATTAATGCGAGGCAGCGGAAAGCTATCTTTAAGGCAGGCTTTGTTCAAGCAAGTGAAGTCAACACAAACTCTCCATTTTCCGTTCTTCTTCTTGACTACAACCATGTTGGACAGCCATTGCGGGTACTGAAATTCCCTGATTGTTCCTGAAGCCAGGAGTTTTTCAACATCAGCAATTACTGCTTCGGTGTGCTCGACTGACGATCTCCGACTTTTCTGCACAATGGACCGAGCTGAAGGGTTGATGTTGAGCTTGTGGCAAGCAAATTCTGGGTCCAACCCTGGAGTATCATATGCTGACTAGGGGTGAGCAGTGGATATACCGATCCGCAAAAATCGACCGAACCGAACCGATCCGCCGCATTTTGGACGGATGCGTGATAACGAGCGGACGGTTGCGGATTGATTTTTTCCAATCCGTCAATTTGGCGGACGGATGGCGGATTTGAGGTTCCTTTGGCCGCAACCGAACCGCCAAACCGCGAGCATCCTTAGTAATTTATAAGACTTTGTGTTTTCAAATTGTTTAAATATTTTGTTTGTGTTTTCAATTGAAAAAGAGTTCAAATATTTTGTTAAAAAAAAATTTCAACTTGAATATATTTTTTGAATTGAAAAAAATAAACGTATTATTTATCTATATTTTTTGATTTTTCAATCTAACTCTAAAAGTAATAAATAGAAAATATGATATATGCTGGCTGATTTTTGTTTTTAAAAACATATATATATGTAACAATACAGAGACATACAATCTTTACTATTGCTCTGTTCATGGTTTTAGTAGTTTGAATTGTTTTTATATTTTAAGAACCATAGATTGTAATACTTTCTGTGGATGAGGCATGCTGTGATTGTAATATGTGGACGAGACATGCAGTGATTGTGATAATCTAAAGTTTCAAACTTTCTTTCTTTGAATGAGGCATGCAGTAATTGTAATACTTTTTAAGTCATTGACTTAATATTTATTTTTTATTTTTAGGAAGTGCACAAGTTGAACTATATTGAAAATTTATAAAATTTCAAACCGCCAAACCGATTCGCATCCATCCGCCAAACCACCGATTCGCATCCATCTGCATCCGCCGGATTGGCGGACGGATGCGGATTGATTTTCTCCAATCCGCCAATCTGGCGGACGAATGGCGGATTGGAGGTTCCGTGGCCGCAACCGATCCACGCCCACCCCTAATGCTGACCACGCGAATACCTCCATATTCTCCCTCAGCAGTTCCAGCAGCTGAAGTTTCTCATCAGCGCCTAGCGAGGTACCGATAAGGAAGTACTTTTCTGGGTCATCCCCTTTTACCAAGACTTTTTCCAAATCCTCTACCATCTTTTCCTCTGGGGTTCCCCTTACATCTTCCAAGACTGGTTGTTCAGCCACTTCTACCGTCTATACCCGATTGAAGAGCTGCTTTGCCTTTAATGCTGTCATGAAGCAATGTTTGGACGTAACTTGATCCCCTGAGATCTACTCTACTTCGTGTTCCGTTGGGAAACGGATGTGCTGGTGGTAGGTTGAAGGGACTGCCTCCATTTGATGAATCCACGGACGGCCAAGTATGGTGTTGTAAGGGGATGGTGCATTAATAACTAAGAACTCTATCTGGAGGGTTTTTGTTCCCGCTACGACTAGCAATACTATTCTGCCAAGCGGCCATTTTGGCTGTGAATTGAAACCGACCAACGGGGCTGCCGCTGGGGTAAGGTGTTGCTCGGAGAGACCAAGCTTTCTGAACAAATCATAATACAATATATCTGCTGCACTACCTTGATCTACCAAGACTCGTTTTATATCAAACCGTTTCCCAATTCCCACAGTTATAATTAATGCATCAGTATGTGGGTGTTGTATGCCTTCTAAATCTTTGCTAGTAAATGAAACAGTGCACAAGGGGGATTTAGGTACTATACGTACCTTTTTCGATGCAGGCTCCACTGACATGACCCGCTGAATTTGCGCAGCCTTAGCGATCTCTTCCTTCAGTGCCTCCTTGGACTCCTGAGTCGCTGTCCCGTGGATCACATTTATTATCAGCTGAGGTGGATGCTTAATGTTTGGTTCTAGCGGTGGGTTTCCCAGTTCGGTCACTTCCTTGTCCTGATCAATGTAATCCCTTAGGTGTCCAGCTGTCACCAGGTCTTCCAAGTGTTGCTTCAGTGCCCTGCAGTTCTGAGTTATGTGCCCCCTGTCTTGGTGGTAGGTGCATCTAAGGTTCTGATTGTGCCGAGCTTGATCTCCCAACATTTTCGGCAGCCAAACGAAAAAAGGCTCTCTCTTGATCTTTTTCAGGATTCGATAGATCGGCTCTTTGAATACAGTTACAATGGCTTTGTGGGCTTTAGACTTATCCACTTCATTCACTGCAATCTCTCGATGTTCTCCTCGGTCTGATCTCTTCTTGTGCCGAGTTGTTTGTTCTGCTGACGCTACCTCGATGGGGATCTGATCGTCTTTGAGGCATGCGTACTGCTCAATCCTGGCACGCAAATCTTTCAAAGCTGTGGCCGGGCGCTTGGTAAGTGATTGTTTTAGCTTACTTTCTGGGCGCAGACCATGTTTGAAGGACATGACGGCCATCTGCTCGCTGTACACATTTTCCTCCAGGTCATTGTATTCTTCCCAGTACCTCCTAGCATAATTGCACAGTGTTTCTTCCTGCTCATTTCGGAGACCGAACAGTGTATCCGGCTCCTTCGGGATCTTAGTGTTGGAGACGAACCTGGCTAGGAACTCTTCGGAGAGCTGCTGCTAGCCATGGATCGATCCAGCGGGGAGACGGTCGAACCATCGAAGTCCGGTTTCTCTCAAGCTGGATGGGAAGACTTTACACATCAGTGCCTCGTCTCGGTTCTATAGGGACATCATCTGTCTATAGTGGCTAATAAGTGTCAGCGGGTTCGACTTCCCGTCGTATAAAGTGAACTTTGGCAGGGTGAATTTCTTTGGAGGTCTTATGGTCTCGATCTCCGAGGAGAATGGCGAAGAGACGAGCATGTCCAGCGCTCGGTGTTCCCTCTGGTGAACAGTACGGTCCAGATGATCTTGATGTTGTTCATTATGCCTATTACCAATCAACTAAGTGCGAAGGTCCTGAGGAGGGTATTCGGTCTGTTGACTAACGATCTTCTGCCTCTTGGCCCTTTTCCGGCGTGACCCACGGGTGTGACTGCTTACTGCCTCACTCTGTACTAGGATAGACTGGCTTTGTTGTCCAGAATCATTCTTGGGGAACTTCTTCACCGGTGGTTCTCTGGATGAGCTCCTCCGTCGCAAATGAGAGGGCTCTGCTTCCGTCTTCTTTTCAGTTGGATCGCCCAGTACCCTCTTAAGTTGGGCTTTCAATTCCTGTATCTCCATCCCCATGGAGTCTATGATGCGATCTCTATAATCCTTTTCCAGAAGAAAGTGATGAGAAAAACCTCCAACGAAGGGTAATCGATGCTCGACGGATTCAGGGGTTCGATTATTGTTACCAGTTTGTTCCTCCGGGACTGTTGGGAGTGCCAAACATTTGTCATTTGTTTTCTCCGTCTGTGGAGTATGTGTCGAAGGCGGAATGTCCTCTATCCCCATCGCCGGAACTGAGTGCAAAGCTCAGAGATGAAGTGGTCCACGCTCACCGCACCAATTGTGCGTACCGGATTCCGCACTAGATGAAAGTGGATCGGGGTTTCGCACTCGGTTGGACTATCCAGAGACTGAGATTTCTGCCACAAGAAGCACCGTTAGAGCTGTTCGGCCGAGGTTGGCCGGATAACCCCTCTGGTATGGGAATTAGTGATCGAAGAGAGAATGTATATCGAGTTGAGCTTACAGTTGTGCTTGGAATTGTTCAGTTACCTTCAATGTGAAGTTCATGTTATACATATAGTGTTCCTTGCTTGCTTCTCAAGGTGAGTTCACGGAGTTTGGATGCTGCCAGGTGTCCTTTTAACATTGCTCATGGTGGGGGACCGCCTGGTAGTTGCCATTGAATGCATATACTCATTGTAGTCATGCTGATAACAAACCACATTCGTTTGGTTCAACAACTTCCATGATTCTAGGTGTAGGGGACCAGCTAAGGTGGTAACTTGCACGTGCACACGTTCACAATTTCCACGTTTCCTTGCGTGGTTTCCTCAGCTCGGTACCGATGTTCCTCAACTCGGCATCATTATGCCTTGTCTTGGCCTTTTACAGGATCAGTCATGGAGATAGACTGGTCCATTCGGGTATCTTTGTATGGGCTCGGCCTATCATCTGTTTGGCCCATAGATTCAGTCTCGTAGCTCGGCCCAGCCCAGCACCACGGCTGGACTAGCGTTTCCACTGCGGGTTGGGTCCAAGTGCTTGAGGACTTGGGTGGACTGTTGATCATGAAGTTAAGCTTAATTGGTCTGACTATTTGCTCATCCAGCCCGCTTGGATCTGGACTTCAGCGAATTGGGCCGGCCCAAGGCTTGGACCTGACCCATTTCACATTTAGCCCCTTCAATATCTCTTCTTAAAAGACAATAATAAGACAAGTATTCTACCATAAGCGATAGTGAAATGTTTGATTGTAATTCATTCATGGTCTGCTCAAAGCGATGACCTTTTCGTATTTTTCCTTGCAAAGTAGCAGCCACCTCTAATGCTCTACATAACATAATTATTTGAGATAAAAATTTTAAGAACATATTGATAGATAAAAATTTTAAGAGCATATTGATAACGGAAAATTCTATGATATATTCCTAAATTCTATTATAAGATGTCAAGAATTAACTCACCATAGCAAGCAATAAAAACATCTCATTCATTATTTGTATTTATAAAATACAGCCTATTACAGAACAGTTTTAGCCTTCGTTTGGCATATTAGGCTTTTTAATTTTTTAGCTATTGTAACAACAAAAAGACAAAATAGGTTTTTTAGCCTAATAAGATAAAATATCACATCCAACTCATAATCAATTCATTTTTTCTTTCATAAAAGTCCAAAAAGTTAAAAAAAATCTATTCCAAATGAGACTTTTTAACTCCAAATTAAAATAACTAAAAAGTCAACTTACATCTCAAACGAAATGAAAAATATCAATCTTTATTATAACATTGAAAATTGACAGTAAATCAACTAATTGCAGTTTATTACAAGAAACGCAACAGTTGCCAAATCTACAACTTCTTCTTCTTAGTTGGTACACAGTTTTTTTTTTTTTTTTTTTAGAAACAGAGGGCAGTGACTGAAGGTGAAACAGGGCAGATTCCAAGGAAGGCAAGCAGAGCTGCTTCTAAAACTGTCATGTTTAGTACTTGATTTATCTTTGAGAGATATACTGACTTGATCGTCGGAGTGCCCCCGGGTGGTCGAAACCACCGCGAGATGCTTATATTTCTGTTGCCGGTCAGTCAGGTGCCATCTATTCTGCCAGTGCTCTCCAGCTGGTTACTAAGCGGGCAGTGTGGTCGGAAAATCACCCACACACAGCCTATTACAGAACAGTTTTAGCCTTCGTTTGGCATATTAGGCTTTTTAATTTTTTAGCTATTGTAACAACAAAAAGACAAAATAGATTTTTTAGCCTAATAAGATAAAATATCACATCCAACTCATAATCAATTCATTTTTTCTTTCATAAAAGTCCAAAAAGTTAAAAAAAAATCTATTCCAAATGAGACTTTTTAACTCCAAATTAAAATAACTAAAAAGCCAACTTACATCTCAAACGAAATGAAAAATATCAATCTTTATTATAACATTGAAAATTGACAGTAAATCAACTAATTGCAGTTTATTACAAGAAACGCAACAGTTGCCAAATCTACAACTTCTTCTTCTTAGTTGGTACACAGTTTTTTTTTTTTTTTTTTTAGAAACAGAGGGCAGTGACTGAAGGTGAAACAGGGCAGATTCCAAGGAAGGCAAGCAGAGCTGCTTTTTTTTTTTGGGTACACAGTTCATCGATGAATCAACATATCATATACATAGAATGCAAAATATTTCGAAGTTCAAATGCTGTTTTGTGAAAGTTTTGTTGCCAAACCCCTAAAACTTATTTCTTCATGTGTTACAAAAATTTTGGAGAAATTTAATTTTAAATTACTTGACAAAGGCAAAGAGACGGTAAGCGTATATGAAAAATAATCTAAAATAAAATTTTAACACTCTGTCTACGTGTGCATGGAGATCACAGAGAGAGAAACAAAATAATACAAACCGACTAAGATTAGAGACGGAAGATTCCAATCAACTCACACTATCATTCAATATAAGCTCTTATGATTGAACTTTAAATAAACATAATTACCCACAAACTATGAATATCAGATAAATTAAAGTATTTTGTACACTTAAACATGGACTTCTAATCTAGGACTTTTCTTAAGTGTACCTTGCATATGGTATGCAAGGCACTTACGATGTTTGCATTTACACCTTCTTAAGTGTGCATTTATAACATATGCAAGGCATTTACACCTTGCACATAGTGTGCAACCTTAAGAGGGTTGCACACTTAAACATTACCCAAGGAGTGAAACCGAGCTTTAATGTGGCCTTGTTTGGAAACAGGTCTAGTTTGATAACATCACTTTTTAGTTTAAAAGTCAAAAAATTATTTAAAAAAAAACTAAAAAGCCAATCATTTATACCAAAAAGTCAAAAAAAAAAATTTCTCTTTATTTTTTGCACATTTTTTTGTAAAAAATTAAAAAATATCCCAAATATACTAATTTTTTTTACATCATATTTTAACCAAAAAGTTAAAAAATTATTAAAAAAACATGTTTCCAAATGAGACCTTAGTTGACTTTTTAATTTTTTATGAAAAGATATGAAAAAAAAATAAAAAGAGTGATATTCGTTTGGAAAATGATTATTTTAGTTAATTTTTATTTTTTACAAAATGACACATAAAAAAGTAAAAAGAGTGATGTGATTGAGTGTTTTATTTTATTGCTTATTAGCCAAATGAGATTATTTTAGTCTATTCCAAACAAAGTAGTGTGATTTTATTTATTTATTTATTTATTTATTTATTGAGGTTAGTGTATTGGTTGGTGTGGTTATCAAAAATATCTCCCTTCAGCTTTCGTTTAGGATGTGGGTTGGTTTTTTTAATTTTTTAATTTGTTAATTATTTTAGCCTGTGGCTAAATTTTTTTTTTTTGACTTTTATGAGAGAAAAAATGAAATGATTATGATTTAAATGTGATATTTTATTTTGTTGACTTTTTAGTGTATTTTATCTTTTTGTAGTTATTTTAACCGAATAATAATAATTGAGACCCCTATTTTTTAGAACCCCCACCACTTCCAAAGTGATTTGAACCACTCATGTGAGAGAGATTGGGAAAAACACACACACACACACGAATGATCTAGATCACTTTTGGGGGTGGTGGGAGTTCCGAAACACGGGGTTTCACACATTTTCCTTTAGCCAAACCCTTTATGCCACACGAAATCTTAGGCCTCGTTTGGGAACCTTCCATTTTAGTTAAAAAGTCAAAAAGTTACTAAATTAGTCAAAAAGTCAACAATTCATACAAAAAAGTCAAAGATTCTCTTTTCTCTCTACTTTTTGCACATCTTTTCATAAAAAGCCAAAAAGTCATCCCAAACATATTAGTTTTTTTTAACTCATATTTTAGCCAAATAGCCAAAAAATTACTAAATTAGCCTGTTCCCAAACGAGGCCTTAGTAGTAATCCTGCAGAGGAGTCGGGGATCTTGCTATGAGTTACAACAAGAATTTGTGGTATTTTGGCGAGGGTTTTTTTTGACTCTTTTTTATAATCTGAATCATTTATATTGTAAAATTTGTCAAGTATATTATTCATACAAAAAAATAAGATAATCAGAAATCTGTAATTCCATGATCAGATTCAAATTGTTTTATAAAAATGATCAAGATTATGTTAACTATTTATTTTTAAAAAATAAATTTCTTTTTATTATAGAGGTATAGATTTTCAATCAATTTGATTTTTTCTATGAATAATTTATTTAACAAATTCTAAAATATAAATAATTCGGATTATCAAAAAAACACTCAAAAACTGAAGCACCACAAATAACTGCGATGACTTACCGTTTGGGAAGGGATTTTGTGGATTTTTTGGGCTATTTTAGCCACAAAAGACAAAATAAGCTATTTTAGCCACAACAAACAAAATATCACATTCAACCCATAATCATTACACTCTTCTCTCACAAAAAAAGTTTAAAAAGTCAAAAATCAAAATGTCCTTCCCAAACTAAGCTTTTTAGCCCAGGTTAAAATAGTAAAAAAAGCCAAAAAATGAAAAAGTCAACCCACTTACCAAATCAATCCTTAGACTTATTTTAAAATCAACTATTTTAATAATTTTTTAATTTTTATAAAAATGAGTGTAAAAAAATGAAAAAACTATATGTCAATTTATAATAATTTTTTAATTAAAATATATAATTAGTAAATGAAACCGACCCATCTTTTTATAAAATATTAAAAAATTAGCAGAAGGGTGTCATCTTTAGTTATGACAGGACAACTTGACTGAAAATGGCAAGGCTTGAGGGATTATGATGGACTTCAACAGGAAACGACGTCGTCTGTAATTTTGCTTCTGCTAAGCTACTCACTAACTCTGCATTCTCTCAACGCTCCAATCCAAGCAAAGGCGAAGAATGAACAATCTCATGGGCTTCGAGGCATCATCAATCTCCGCCTCCACCCCCAATCGCTTTCTCTTCAACACCACCTTCTTCGTCTATTTCAATGGCGATTTACCCCTAACTTCTTGTAAAATCCCCTTCATATCCTCTTCTTCATCTCAATTCCTACTCTCCAAACCACGGACAACAACAACCAGTAGGTTCTATGCACAATTTCTCAATCTTCCCAGTGTTGAATTTCTGGGTTTTTTTTTTCTTCTTGTGGGTGTTTCTTAAATCGTATTTGTCTGTAATGGGTTGTTTTTCAATTGTTGTGTTCTGTGCCTTTTATTTATGGGTTACTTGGAAATATTTCGTTCAGGACTTCGAGCGAACAGTGTGCCTGCTTCACAAGTAGTGGAACAAGTTGAGGTTGAAGTTGCTGATGGAGTTACAATTACCCAATTCTGTGATAAGATTATTGATTTGTTCTTGATTGAGAAACCCAAATCCAAGGATTGGAGGAAGTACTTGGTGTTCAGGGAGGAGTGGAAGAAATACAGGGATAGCTTCTACAATCGGTGCAAGTCTCGTGCCCATGCCGAAAATGATTCCCAAATGAAGCAAAAATTAACTGCATTGGCAAGAAAAGTAAAGAAGGTATAACAATCTTTTATTAGCTAATTTCAATTCAATGTGTCCATATATGTGTAAAGAAGGTATAACAATGGCTTTGGATTTATAATTGGTGTGTTCTTTTGATGTCCTTTTTCCATGTGGTACTGATTGGGCAATGACCATTGCAGATTGATGATGAAATGGAAAGACATTCTGAACTACTAAAGGAGGTACAGGACAACCCTACGGACGTTAATGCAATTGTTGCAAGACGGCGCAAAGACTTCACAGAGGAATTTTTCCGTTATCTTACTATACTTTCAGAGACGAATGACAGCTTGGAGGATCGTGATGGTAATAAACTTGGCATTTTGCGTTATGCTAATTTGATAATTGAAATGGATAATTTACCTATAAGTTACATTTTCTAGTTGGGATACCTTCATTGGTATCACCCTTTTGATGTTAAAGGCAGGAAATATTTTTTAAATATTGTGAATGTATTCTATTGACTTGCTGACAGAATTGCTCAATTTGCTAGTATTGTGGTGGATGTGTAGTTTAGGTTAATTTTTCTTTTTAAAAAAGAAAAGAAGATATACATCAAAGGTACTCATGTACTGGTACTATAAAAAAAAATTCTAGTTGATGATATACCTTCTTTGTTAATTACTGGGGGTTATAATAGACCATGGTTTTAGCATTTAAGACCACATGATTCTTAATTTAACATCGTACATCATAGTGATTGCTGAGATACACTATTGAGTGGGATCTCATTGATGGGATTTGTAAAATGCTTTCAAACAATTCCTTCATTTGATTTGGGTGTTTTTAAATGATATTCTTGTCTAAATGCTATCAAAAATGTTGTTCGACTGACTTTGTGTATTCCAAAACAGAATTACTCACTTAATTTCTAATGCATGTTTCTTACTGAATTCCAAGCAACAAAGGAAGTTGGGATTTCTTGATCTCATCTCAATACTTTTCTTTAGTTGTAGTAAGAAATATGTCAAAGCGGTACATTCTAAACAAAAAGACCATAAATTTATGAATATGCAGTTTTGCATCCAGATCATCAAGATTTTTTTCCTGTTGTCCTATTGATTTTATTCAATTAATCGCTTTTGATTATAAGGGCTTCCAAAACAAGCTGTGGGTCATTTATTTTATTGTCATGGCAGGCTATGGTCACTAATGAGGTCATTTTTCAAGTGCAAGTTATGCAATGTTTTGCATGTCTTGGGGGGAAGTTTGTTTTCTGTGTGAAGTCTTTTTACAGATATTCATACATGTTTATATCTTTATAACAGGAATTCAGAAGTACCTTGGAATCCAATAGAATTCTTTTAATCTTGATTGCAAAATTAGTTCAATGAACTAATATAATTCAAAATTAGATTTTTGAAAACACCTTCTCTGTTGCCCGTTTGCCAGTGATTTCACCCCAGCATGCGCGTCTTTGTTCTTCCAACTGGTTCTTTTCTAATGACATACTAGAGCTACCTTTTATGAAATTTTTATTCAATAATTTAGCAGGATTTTTCCAATGATCTGCTTCCTGATACTTGTTGACAATTCTTAGTTTTCCAGACTCCTTTGCAATACATCTTTTACCTGCATTATCAGAATTACAAAACCAATGAAATTTTTTTTATCATTTGTTTGAGCAGCGGTGGCCAGACTTGGGGCTAAATGCTTGTCTGCAGTCTCTGCCTTTGATAATACACTGGAAATTGTGGGGACATTAGATACTGCCCAGGCCAAATTTGATGACATCCTAAACTCTCCGTCAGTGGATGTGGCATGTGAAAAGATTAAAAGTCTTGCCAAGGCAAAACAACTTGATTCTTCTTTAATTTTGTTGATAAATAGTGCTTGGGCTGCAGCGAAGGAATCCACTACCATGAAGAATGAGGTATGGACGATAACCTTCTAAGAGGATGTTCATTTGATGTAGACCATGAAATTTTTTATTTAAAAAATGTTGTTTCTAGAATCACAATATATGCATGAATGGGGCAGATGTGCATTTGATGTGAAATATCAAGTTAAGAGGATCTTGCTCACCTCAAGCTCAGTGGCTGCATAGAAAATCATTCTTTATTTATTTTTATTTTTCTCTAAATCAATTACCTAAGCTGTCATTTTCATTTTTGTTTTGTTTTGTTTTGTTTGTAGTGTAGTAATAAGAGACACTAGGCTGACACTGGTCTGGTTATATGTGAGATTTCAGTTTTGGATCTGTGTGCAGTAATTTGTGCAAATAAAATAAAAAATTAGGAATGTATCAATCCAACTGTCCTACTAGACCCTTGACATTATATAAAATCAATTCCTCATAATATCAATTTCATTAAATCAGCGAGAATACACATATTTATAGCTTAAAAATACTCATATTTCTATAAACAATAAGAACTAGTACTCCAATTTAGAAACGAAGAGTATTTGGCAACTAGAAATCTTCTACATCAATTAGGACCCCAAATAAAAATCAAACAACATTACTTGGGTGACCCCTAGAGCCAATGTCCAGAAATTTACGAAATTACCAAATAGACCTAACTACTAAAACCAGATATAATGATATAAAATTTTCCAGAAGCATACTAAATAAAAGAAACACAAATAAAGACTGAATACCATTCTAAAACTTCACTCCATGATGCCTTAAATGTGTTCCATGTGAAGTTTCATATTTGCTCCTCTTGTTGCTATGCTTCACATCACTTGAGCTCACCAACTTGAGAGTTGCCATTTTTGAGTTTATATTGTTAATTTCTTTCAAAACCTTCTGTTTGTTTCTCTGTTAGCTTTAGTTGTGTCACAAGATTGACGAGTTGAATATTCACATTCTATCTTTTTGCACTCATGACCCCTTTATTGACAATCTTCGCCTGGGAACAGTCCTATTTGAAATAATATCTTAACATATTCATGTGATGGTATAACTTTGCAGTTCTTTTCTGACCGATCAAATGCAACAAATATTCAAGCATTAGACCACTTCTGTTAACAGTAACCTTGGACATTGGGAAATTTGGTTTACTGAATGTTCAAATGCTTGAATTTGACAATGGATGGACATAATCCCAAAATCTCCTTGCCCCCCTTCCTTTGCTAAAACCTTAGATTTTTTAGGTTGAGATTTTGCTTCTTTTTTTTTCTTGTCTTTACTGCATTCTTTGTGTTGCTTCTGCTCAAGTGCTAGTTTGTTTTTCTTTTATTCTTGAGCATAGACCTTCAAGTGCAGGTTAAAGGCATAATGCATAGTTTATACAAAGCTACAAAGAGTAGTCTAAGGAGCATTGCGCCAAAAGAAATAAAGCTACTGAAGTATTTGCTGAACATCACTGATCCTGAAGAGCGATTCTCGGCATTGGCTACCGCTTTTTGTCCTGGAGATGAACATGAAGCCAAGGACAAAGACGCTATATACACGTAAGAGAACTTCATGCATCACCCTCTGTGTGTGTGTGTGTGTGTATGTATATATTGTAATTTTTTGTTTTGTGGGTGGAGCAGAACTCCCAAGGAGCTGCACAAGTGGATTAAGATCATGCTTGATGCATACCATCTTAATAAAGAAGAGACTGACATTAGGGAAGCCAAGCAGATGTCCCAACCTGTTGTCATCCAAAGGCTTTTTATACTCAAGGAAACAATTGAGGAGGAGTACTTAGAACAACCAGGCACCAAAACAGAAAATGACACAAAACCAGAAAAATTGTAAGGTACTGATGTTCTTCATCTGTACACGTCTGTGATTAGCTGTCACCATCTGCTAGAGTTAGACTTGTAATTTTGTAATGAAGCCTTCTACTGTGAAGGTGAGAAGAAAATTTTGGTGTCTGTATTGGGTTGCTTTGGTATGATGTATCCTTGTTATTTCCCATGGGAGTTTCACTTGTACAGTTTTTGCTTAATGGAATGCCATGACCAAATTAAACAGTGAAGATGATGATTTCATATATATATGTGGACTCCTTGGGACTTTCAAGAGGGGTTAGTAAAGCAAGAAGACTTGTGCATGTAGTTGTGCTGTGCCGAAATGATGTTGATTCCTTTATTTGAAACATTTGTTCAATGTGTGTTGGTCTCCGTATGTTCTGGTTTCTCATAACTCTTCTATTTGCAGCAGCAGTCTTTTTTCTTTTTTCTTGTACTAGATTATTTGGTGGAGACTAGGCCACATTTAGTTGGATGGAATTGACATGAATTAACAATAAAGGAAAATGCTAGAGGTCCCAAATTTTCTACCAAATAAATGACCAAATGTCTCATATAGGTGTGGGGTCCACAAAATTGCGGACTCACACCCATGTGAGACATTTGGTCATTTGTTTGGTAGAAAATTTGGTGTCCCTAGCATTACCCAACAATAAAAGTACATGTATGAATTGCAATTATTTTGGATGTTATTCACATTTCACTAACTTTAAATCTATATCGAAGAGGTTGTTGTCGAGGATATTGGCTCGAGATAGGGTTATTTGCCATGAATCGGCATGGCCAATGTTAGTGACAGGCCATGGTGGTGACTAGAGGGATGAAAAACAAAAAACTTATTTTGAAAATAAGTGGAAAAAAAAAATTGTTTGTTACAAAAAATTATTTTGTGATTAGTGCGGTTTGGTTTGATTGTGTTTTAAAGCTCATTTTGCTAAAAATATATAAATAAAATAGTTTAATTGACAAATTCATTTCTTGTATAAAAAAAAAACATTTTTAATAATCACTTTAAAATTTATTTAAAAAGTAAAAATAAATTAAAAATATATCAAATAAATTAATTTTTTGTTTTTAACTTAAGAAACTAGCTAAATGGGTGTTCTTTTCTTTTCTTTTTGATCAGAGTTAAAAGAGCGTTTGATAATATAATTCAGAACTTAAAATTAAATTAATTAAGTGACAATCAATTAAACCCGTTTGATAACCACAATTGATACTTAAAAATTGAAATACCTCTTAAAATGTAAACTAAAATTTAAGATTATTTTAAATCATGTAAAACTTACTTAATTTTAACTGAATTTATAAATATTATATATAAGTATCATTATATATTGTGATAAATTTAGGGTTGGTTTGGGATGTTTTAAAAAAGTACACTTTTTGAGTTATTGGTTCATATAGATTGGGTTTGGGTTGGGTTTGATGTGATGTGTTAGAGAGGTGATGTGATTTAAATAAGATGATGTGACTTAAATAGGATAGTGACTTTTTGGCTTTTTATATTATTTAGGTTATGCCAAACTTGATTTTACTATTACCACTATTGTCGCCGTTACCACCACCACCACCATTATCATGTCACCACCACCAAGTCATCGCTACCGTCATGCCACTACTACTAGTATTATTATCACTACTACCATTGTTATCGTCGTCGCTACCACCATCACTATCACTATCGCTATCGCTATCGCTATCACTACCACCCACCACTATTATGCCACCGTCACTATCACCATCATTATGCCGCCGCCACCAACAACAACATGCCGCCACCATCAATGCTACCGCTACTACCATTATGCCACCACTACCACTATCACTATCATGTCACCACCACCAAGTCATCGCTACCGTCATGCCACTACTACTAGTATTATTATCACTACTACCATTGTTATCGCCGTCGCTACCACCATCACTATCGCTATCGCTATCACTACCACCACCACTATTATGCCACCGTCACTATCACCATCATTATGCCGCCGCCACCAACAACAACATGCCGCCACCATCAATGCTACCGCTACTACCATTATGCCACTACTACCACTATCACTATCACTATCACTATCACTACTACCACCACACTATCATATTATCACCACCACCACCATCATAATATAAAAATTAAAATACATAATTTAAAATAATAATTTTTAAATTTAATCTTATATATATTAAATAATTTATTTTTAATTCAGTGTTTAAATTTTTATCAAACAGATTTCAATTTAAAAAATTTAATATTTAATTTTTAATACTTAATTAAATTAACTAATTAAGGGGTGGTTTGAGATGTTTTAAATAAGTGTATTTTTTGATTTTTTTATGAAAAATAGATTGAATATAAATTGAATTTGAAGTGATGTGACTTAAATAAGATAATAACTTTTTAATTATTATTATTTTTTTATTATTTTTTTTTGACCTTTTTAATATATGGCAAACAAGACGTAAAACTCTGAGGTTAGTTTTGTCAATCATTTTTCCACCAGGAAAAGGGGCTTTGTACTGCACTAATTTGTACTACACTTTTTTTTTTTTTTTTTTTTGGATCTGCACTAATTTGTACTACACTGTATCACAAACAAAGAGCCCTCTATCTAATTCACGTTTCGTACACTCCTCAATTCCAACAAAAAGACAACTCCTTATCTTGTGTTTACTCCAGGCCACACTCCACAGATGTATTATGCCATTTTCAAGGAGCAAGGATCCTCTAGAGTTTTTTTTTTCTAAGGTTTTCTAGAGTGGTGTGTTATATGGTTGAGATTTAATGATAAGTCACATCAATTTTTTAGCATTAAATCTCACCCATACAACACATCACTTTAGGAAACTTTAGGAAAAAAAAACTCTAGAGGATCCTTGGTGATTTTCAAGTTTGTTTGTTTGTTTAAAAAATATATATATATAAATGCGATCTAATAATTATTATGATCAATTTAATTTTTGATTTTTTTAGAGAGTCTTAATAGATAACGTGATCTAATTATGTTATTTTAATCAATTTAATTTTTGATAGTAGCATGAATCATTTCAGGGTGAATCTAAAAATGACCAACACAATTGTTCAATGAGAAAGAATAAGTGGGCATAAAAAAATATATATTACCTGGTTAAAAATTATTCAGAGAAAGAATAAGTGGGCATAAAAAATATATAAAATTATACAAAAAAAGATATATTGCCTGGTTGAAAATTATTCAGTGTATGATGAATTACATAATACATTTATATATGCTTTAATTTTTATGCACAATAATGCGACTTTAGTTTTAAGTTGAAACAATCACAATTGTATTTTATAATTTTAAAAATATAATTTGAGTATCTTTCTAGATAATAGAAAGTTTATTTGTCAAGAAACCTCACAAAATGACTTGCGTCCTATCAATTTCAAATAAAGATTAGTGGTTGGAAAAAAAGAAGCCACTATTGTCTATATCAATTATTATGCTTTTTCTTGCAAATAATCTAAAGGGAAAAGATTGTGGTGCACACCTCTCAAAAAGTGTGTACCGTATGCAGTTTATAATTAAAAAAAAAATGACATAATTTTATATTTTTTAGGTCATAATTAAAATAAAATAAAATAAAATAAATCATAACCAAAACAGCACATGAGATATAACTAAAGATCTCGTAAGTTATAATTAAAATAAGATCATAACTAAAAAAAATGATATAATTTAAAAATACATATAATAAAGAGGTAGTATAATAAAATTTTCCTAATATGAAGTTAGACCTTCAACAAAAGGCAACACTGCAAGGAAATCACAGGGCAAGCCATGCGAAGTCTATGAAATTTTCGAAGGTAGTCAAAATAACTACCATAAGCATTTCTTTTTTCGAACATTCATTAGAGATTGAGCTTTGTTTTTTCAATTATTTTTTTGGATTAATTACACTAATATTTTTTCTAGAATCATTAAAATATTACTTATAGTCACTACTTGAAAATTATAAATTTAAACTCTTTTGTATAAAATAAAATAACATATAAATGCTCTTTTTTTTATTTTATATTTTAAATACGTGAAAGTGATTTTTGAAATAAAATCTTATCAACATTAATATATATGGAAACTATCATCTTATCACCACCATCTCATCACCATCATCGCCACAACACCAATGTCACAACTAATACAGCGGTTAGCATATTGTTTTAAAATTACAATCAAACATAAAAAACATTTTTTATAATTTTTTTATCGTAAAAAGTATTTCCTCTCAAAACAAATAGAGGGCAAGGGAATAAAATAAGACAAATTATTGATCTATTATATGACAAAAAATTAATGAATTAATAACTTTAATTTTTTATCATTAAATGAGTAATTAAATAAAAAAATTGTTATTAAATTTTTAATGCCAAATAAATATATCATAAAAGGGTAACATTGCAAACTAAAAAGTTCATAACATGTTGCATTAAATTTTGTTTACTTATTAAATTCAATTCTATGAAAGAGCAATGCTTCGGTGGTAAGAAAATTATCAATTTTTTTATCAAACACCTATATGGATGTAGGTCTTCGCTGACGTAGGTCACATTCATGTGAGTGTTTTGTAAAATATTTGGGGATTTTCATGAGATCTCTAGTATTTTTTTTTAAAATTTAATTCTAATTTTTTTGAATTTAATGTTTTAAAAATTAAGTTTTTTGTTTTTCGTATTTTTTATTCCGTACGACGTCGCTTTATCACCTGAAAACACAAACGTGAGCTAGCCGGCGGGTGTGTGCCGGAAACCTCTCCGATGCCTAAGTCAGTAAGCTTGACAAATAGATAAAGTTTTGTGTTCTCAGAAAGAATTATGTTTAATTACCTCCTCCAAGGTGGTGCTTGTGAGCTTTTATAGGTTTCGAGTGGCATAATCCTAGTAGACTTTTATTTCTCCATGCAGAGTCCTCCTAGGATTCATACTCCTAAGGATAATGCTTATCCTTTTACACCCTCCCCCACTGCTTAAACCAAGTAGGATGGTTTTCACTTTGGCCGAACTACTATATGACCGAAATAAGCTTGGCTATGCAGAGCCACAGAGAAGGCCGAACTGTCCTTAGCTCGGTCTTCTCCTCCAACTCCTTATCTCGGCTTTCCCCTGTTCAACCATGGTGTGTTTAGATCAAACTTCCAAGTAGCAAGTTCTGACCGACCTAACCAAATTATGACACGACCGGACTAAATGCAAGGCCGGACTTACTTCAAATTGCCACCGGACCGGAGTTGCTTTACACATTCTTGAACCGGAGTAACCACACCTCTCTTGGGCCGGAATAACTACACTTCTCCTGGACCGGAGTATCTATGCCTCTACTAGGCCGAAATAACATTACGGCTTCTTACCGATTCCTTCACACTTTGGGCCGCAAGGCCCAACTCACAGCTCGGCCCAATTCTTTCTCAAAAATTACCCTCTCAACTAATATATGAATTAGTATTATAATATTATTATTGACTACATTTATTATACAAATTATAAATATTTAAAACTATATAAATAATATCACACTATCTATTAATACATTAATTAATATATATAATATTATTTAAAATTCAAACTTATGTAACATATTTAATCATTTATTTATTATAACATTTTTGAAAAAATAACAATAATGTTAGTTAGTACGTTCCTTCCGTCATACGGACACTACAAATTGAGGACCAAATCTCATTACTTGAATTCACAAAGAAAATCCTCTTACACCGAAAGAGAAAGAAAAGGAGAAAGAGAAAAGAGTTTGAAATGTCAACGAATTGAATTGCCATTCAATTCATCCAACAAAAAGAGAAGGAAATTGAAATGTCAACGAACTGAATTGCTATTCATCCAACAATTTCCCCTAATCGTCGTCGGAGCATCTTTCCGATCGTCGTCTCTTCCCGGCGTATCAGCAACCTTAGATTTCACTCTCTTCTGGTACTAATTCTTATTTTATACTCTACTTTTTTTATTCAATAATCGCGGTTTTGACCAGTAAATTTGAGCCGAATTACTAGCTTTCCTTGCCGAGAATTTGCGTCTGAATCGTTTTAGTATTCATATTCAATCGCACGATTTCAAGTTTGATTGAGTTTGATTCACTATGATTACAATTTGCTTGATGATGATGAATTTGTGATAAGTATATGTATATATATAATTATTTTTCAATTTCTCTAGTTATTTTGGCCGTTTCAATTTAGACTGATTGGCAAAGCTGCCAAAGAAGTTTTGTTTTTATGAATTCTGAACAAATAGCTGCTGAAATTTGATTGATTGGTAAAACTAATTTTGTATTCAACATAGCTGGTGGTGGAGTTTGATTGGTGTGATTTGTTTGTATTTGTCAATTTTTAATATTTTTTTTAATATAATAAGTTTGCTGAGAGAAGGTGTGTTGTAGTAGGTGAGAATAGGGGATGGAGATGGAGCAGAAATTAGAGTGGGCTGAGGCACAGAAGATTGTAACAAGCGTAGACCTTGTTGCTGCAGCCAAACAGCAGCTGAAATTTCTTGCAGCTGTTGATCGGAACCGTTGGCTTTATGAAGGCCCTTATTTGGAAAGAGCCATCTATAGGTAATTCAATTTGTCCATTTTTTAAGTAGTGTTACTTGTATGATATTTTGGAGTGTTTGATATTTTTAGTTTGTGGTTAGTGAAAAGTTTGAATACAACATTATTTTCATTTATTGTTTTTTGAAAAATTTTAGTTAATCAACTTTCAGAAATAGTTAGTTAAACAAGTTTTATATGTTTTAAAAAAAAATGAAAATAGAAACGAAAACACAACCAAAATGCCATTAATTCCTCAACATCAAACCGGGCCAGGCTCGGGCTTTTTCAGGTGGCCTGGGACCAAAAACATTAGGCTCAAGCTCTGTCTAATGGGTTTGACCTAGGTGGGCTAGTGGATTGGGCAGCATGCTAAGCCCAACAGGCTGAGATTCAGGCCTACTGTGTTTGTTTTATTTTTTTGAGTTCTTATTTGACATAATGTTTTATATTTTTTTTCATTTTCTTTCATGTTTTTCCCCGTTGCAAAGAGAAATATATATAGGAACAACGACCACCGTTCTTCTTTGGGAATTTTTTTAATCAGTAAGTTTATAAAAAAAGGGGGGATTTTAGTCAAAATCCCCTTTAATAAAACTTTAATGCATTAAGAACCGAGAAATGTTAGGACCCCAAATGTTTTATCAACATTTCTACTGAATGTCTCACATGGATGTAGGACCTACACCATGTAGGTTCTATGTAAGTCTCACACCCATGTAAAACATTTGGTAAGAATATTGGTAAAACATTTGGGATTCCTAACATTACTCATATAATCTTTTATATTAATGTCATTTTTTAATAAAGTTAGTATTTTTAGAATCCTCTTATCAAGATCTATCAAATAAAATCCAGATTGGCTATGAAATTCTTAGAAAAAAAATAAAAATTTATTACCGTCGAAATTGATGTAAACAATAACATATTATTTTGTTTGACAGTAACATGTGGTAATATTGTCCAAGAAAAAAAAAATTTATTTTGTCCTTATTCAATTATGTGTATCCTCCTTAGAGAGTTTATAAAGTAAAATAAATTGAGCTACCCTTTTCAACATACAAGGGTCCAATGGAGGAGTTTTGGCTAAATTTCCCTGTAAAAAACAAAAAGATACAATCGATGAAGCCCAAATCAGAGGCTAACACAACACAGAGGCATACCTCCTACTACAAGCAAAAACACAAGCGCAACAGTTTGCCAAAGCAATAAGTTCCTAACAATATCATACATGCAAGACTAAAGTTACCAAAAATCCTGGTTATATTCGACCCAAGGTCTTCCGTCTAACTAGAAGTTACAGTAAGTTCCGGTGCTCACAAATTTCTCATGCTATTGGAGAATTTGTGACATCTTTGACTCCTGAAAATCTACCTCGAATGTCTCATGAAATTTCAAAACTCAATTGAAAATCTACTCTTTGTAATCACTCAATATTCTTTTGTTACATTCATTCCGTATATGGTAAACCAGGAGTGCAATTATAACCCTCCTAACCAGAGTGCGAATAGTTTTTCCATTTATTTTGGTGCTATCCGTTGAGGACACTGTCCCTGCGTTTAGATTGATTAAATACAACTGTTTGCTTTTGGAATTGTAGTTTTCAAGTATTTTATAGATAGCGCAGATAATGAATGGTTATTATCATAATCTTAGCATTGATCATGTGTTTGGATAAGAAGTCATGTGGTTTTGTCATATGAATTGTAGAGTCATGTGGTTTTGTCATATGAATTGTAGAACTCTCATAAATAGCATACATAGCACTAGATTGAAGTACTATTACTGCCTGAAAGAGAAGGAACAGAAGTTCGTTTTTATATTTCTGTTTATTCAGACTTTTGTGAAGCTAGTGCATGCTTTTATGCCAGCTTGAAATGTGATCTGACTAATGAGGAAGGTATACTATACTAATGCTCGTTTCATATACCTTTCAAAAATGGACATTTTTTCACCTTGTGTATTGAGTAAAATTTTTGACAACCTCAATTTCAGGTACAATGCTTGTTGGCTTCCTTTGCTTGTCAAATATTCTGAGGCCCAAATGACAGAAGGACCTTTGGTTGTTCCTCTTGATTGTGAATGGGTTTGGCACTGCCACAGGCTAAATCCAGTAGGGTTCTGAACTGTAATATAGATAGTTTCGATTTTTATTCATATATACATGTTTGTGCGGAGATTGATTAGATGTGTTTCTGAGTTTAATTTTTCAGGTTAGGTACAAATCTGACTGTGAGGTATTTTATGGAAGGATTCTTGACAACCATAATGTTGTTTCTTCTATTCAAGGGACTTCAAAAAGGGAAACTGAACAGATTTGGAACAAACTATACCCGAGTGTGCCCTATGATTTTGGCTCGACTAGTGTTTCCTTTGAGAAGGTTTCTGGAGCTGGAAAGTACTCCCAATACGATCTGCTTTTAGCTGTCAAAAGGCAGGTGCCATTCTTTTATCAGGTAACGAACAAAGCAGTCATGCTCCTTTTCCTTTTTTTATCACAAGGTAGGACATCAGAAACTTTGTATTCTAAAATCACGTAATTCAGTTTCAAGTTATATTCTCTCTATTTTTGTGATGGGTAGGTAAGGAGACTTGAACTTGAGTCTCTTCATCGGGGCGTCCCCTAGGTCATGTTCTGTTATTAATGAGTGTTCCATTGGATATGGTTTGTAGATGACATAATTCTGATATTTTCATGGAGCTGTCTGCTGATTTCCGTTTTCGCAACTAATCCTTCTTTTTTTTTTTCTTTTTTTTTCTTCTCTGTGCAACTAAACAAATCTCCACAACCCTAAATGCAATTTAACTATTATATTTTTCCAAGTAGCCACTCCATGCATATAATCTTTTTCTTACTTTTGGATCCAGATCATAAAAAGTACTTCATTTTCCTGAAATTTATTGATTTTGTTTGATTATGCTTCATATTTCTATTTGGAACAGGTTTCTAGACCCCATATGGACAATGATCTCTTTCTTGAAGCAGCTGTGGCTAGATACAAAGGATTTCTGCATCTAATCAAGAGAAACAGGGAGAGATCCTTAAAACGCTTCTGTGTTCCAACTTATGATGTTGACCTTATCTGGCACTCACATCAGTTGCAACCTGCTTCTTACTGCAAAGACCTGGTGAAAATACTTGGCAAGGTTTTAGAGCATGATGACACAGATTCAGACAGATCAAAAGGAAAGAAGCTGGATTCTGGATTTTCTGAAACTACCAAGCAGTGGGAGGACACATTTGGTTCGAGATATTGGAGGGCAGGGGCAATGTACAGAGGTGCCGCTCCATCTCCTATCATGGCCACTCCCTGTGCCTCTAAAATTGTGACCAAGCAGGTAATCGCATCCAATGAGCATCAGAAAACTGTACATCTTCCTGAGGTGAAAGTTATAGAGGTAATTTCAAAACCTTTCTATACCCTTCATTACTCTTTTTTCTTTTCTTTTTTTTTTTTTTGGGTGGTATTTACACGATTTTTTTATTTCTTAATTTTTTTTTTTCATTTCAAAGAAATAGTTGGTTTTGGAATTCGAGCTAGGTGCTGATGCTTAATATGCACTTTTTTACCATAACATAATGGGTCGACATTCCAGCATCATTACTAAAATCACTCTGGCTAGTGGCATTAGTATTCTTTTACAAGGCATCTTTAGACTTTGCTGTCTTGCACCATTCATTTCACATATTATGATGACAAGTAACATATAGCTTTTCCGGTAAACAATTACTAAGACACACCTGCCCGTAGTCAAGTATGTTCAACTAGACCATGAACCCCAGGCATATTTCACTCATAGAAGATCGTGACCCACATATTAGTTCATTTAAATCCATGGGCTACATTCAAAAAATTAACTTGCTCAGATGTAAATGTGACCATTCAGTTTCTTTTTTCTTTTTTGTTTTTTAGATTTTTATCCATTGAACCACGTGGCTAAAATGTTAACCTGATTAACTACACATAGGTGTGTTTAATTGAGTTAAATCAGATGTTGAGTCTCAACTGTAGTTTAGGTCTGTGCGATCGGCTTTGATCAGTCACTTGACCATAGTTGAATTGTGCTTGCTGGAGACAAACCACTTTCTTTTCCCTTATCAATTTTCTTTTCTGATTTGGCAGTAGCAATATCACTAATCCTTCATGAATCTTTTGAAACTAAGTATTTTGTTAGATTTTATATAACAAATTCCATTGAGGTACTTGGAAGGATAGCTTATAGTTCAATATTTTGCTCTGTTAATTATTGAATCGGGTTATTGTAGCCTGAGTCTCAAGATCATTCACACAGATTTTAACTTTGTGAGTCTATTTTCACATTAATTTTTCCAGGTCATGTTGGAATTTGTTGGTGTCAGAAACTTACCAAAGGGACACAAGGGAAGCGTCTCTGTCGTATTTAGTAAGACACAGCCTGATACAATCTTCAGTGCCAATAGGAGACTCACTATTTTGTCCGAGTCTGGGGAGAAGCAGGTCGCTTCTTTCCATTGTCAGCCTACTGGAAATCTGCGATTTGAACTTGTCTCCCACTCACCTTCCAACTTAAAAATTTCAAGGCCAGCCAAAACTTTGGGTTCCTCTTCCATCTCTCTGGAGGATTTCCTGACCCCCGTTTCCAATCTCTCTGTGGAGAAGTGGTTGGAGTTGGTGTCCAGTTCTGGAACAGTGAGCTCAAAGCCAATTGGTTTACGGGTTGGCCTCTCATTTACCATTCCAACTGCAGCGCCACATGTGCTTCACATGGTTCGCTCTCGGCCATTCTCAAAGAGTTCTTGTTTTTTCCCACTTCCCGGAAGGGTTCAATTTACTAAGAGTTGGACACATGTTATCGATGAAACTGGCAATGAGGTCATCAGCCTCCAGATGAGGTATTCCTGTTGTCCATTTCTAGCTAACGAATGAGTTAGGTTGCATTTGGCTTGGATTGTTTAAACTGATTTTTATTAGTAGGAATCGTCTGATTAATAAATAACAAAAATCATTTTCTTATAACAATGATGTTGATTGGATGGACTTGTTACCAAGTATCTTGTCCATTTTAGGGTATCAATATTGTTCAAAGTTAATGTTTCTCTAATTATACCACTCTAATATACAAAGATGGCCCTTGTATCACTGGATTTGCTAAATTATAATTGTAGAAGAGAACGAGTTTTAAACATATTGTGAACCACAGTTTTTTAAGTTCCACCAACTAATATGTTTATTAAATAACATGAAATTGACCTTTAAAGATATATCTTTCCTAGACTGAGGAAGTTGGCTGTTCTCTTATGGCTTGAATTTGTATTCTTACATAGTGTATAGAGGACTCACTGTTAGTTGCTCGTTAAATCTACTACTGAAATCCCAAGTTTTTCTGGTTGCTGGACAGAGATTTTAGTAAGGAAAAGGGGAGAAACGACTCTATTTTGAGGAAAGAGGTTATTGGAATTACAGAATCTGGTGAAGCACATACTCTTGCCAAATTTGAAGGGACAGAGTGGTCTTTGATAGATTCGCAATGGTCCCTTCAGCTTCAGAAAATATCCAATAAAGACGGCCACCTTTTTGAGCTCACTGGCCATCGGATGGTAAGCTATCTCCATTCCATATGATTCTTTGTCGATTCAAATTAAATCTGGTAATCCACCCATTTGTTGCTTTGCTATCATAGTTTTTGACAATCTTTCTTTAAGAAAAAGAATACAGTAATGTTATCAGAATTTCACAATTGCAGCTAACCAAAGGGGGAGATTTATTTTATTTTATTTTTTTTGTGTCAAATGCATTGGGAAACACTATTTATAATTTAGATACTCCAAAGCCTAAAACTTCCACTTTTATCGTAAATATATATATATATATATATTTTTTAAATAGATACTGAACTTTTTGTTCACATTTCTTTTCCAATATATATAGAATGTCCAACTGCCAAACAGGCATGATTTGTATGAGTTCTTGATGCAGGTAAAACTATTCCCAGGTAGGAAGCTGGAATACGAACAGCACTGTGAGGAGCATAGAAGTGAACATGACTTTGTGACATTAGTTGAATTCTCTGAATGTGGATTGAATTCCATGAGCGGTTGCATTGCTCAACTTGAAATCTGGATTTTTCAAGGTACATTTCAATTATTCATGTAAATTTTAACAAAGGCTTCTTCACTGTGCTTACTTTTCTTTCCTTGTTAATGAACAGGTGAAAGAAGAATGGCTGGTGTTGCTCGGGATCACATTGACTTTTATCCTTTCTGATATTTTGAGAAAGGAGGGATATGACAGCCTAACTGACGGTGGAGAAAATTTAACGGAGACGGATCATAAAGAAGTCGATGTGTGCCACGAGGAAGACAAAGGGGCTAACTTGACCACTGAGATGGAAATGGCATTGAACGTAGAAACCATTAACAGTAATGTGGTGACACCAGAAAATGGCATGGCTTATAGTGGGATTGGAAATACAGTAAAGAGTGGCGGTTGCGGTGGTGGTTGTGGAAGTGGATGTGGAAGTATGGTGAAGAGTGGTGGCTGCGGTGGGTGTGGTAGTGGTTGTGGTGGTATGGTGAAGAGTGGTGGCGGCGGTGGTTGTGGTAGTGGTTGTGGAGGTATGGTGAAGAGTGGTGGTTGTGGTGGTGGGTGTGGTGGTGGTTGCGGAGGTGGATGTGGAAATATGGTGAAGAGTGGAGGCTGCGGTGGTTGTGGTGGTGGTTGTGGAGGTGGAGGTGGAGGTGGATGTGGTGGTGGTGGTGGTTGTGGAGGTGGATGTGGAGGTACGGCGAAGAGTAAAGCATAGGGAAACAGCACTGCCAATCCCTCTGTTGTTGAACAACCAAAGTAAGCAACAATCCAAGCAAATGAAAACAATGGTATAGTATATTGTGTTTGCATGATGGTTTCAGCTCCCAATAAATAAGTTTCAGCCTGTCTTGACAAATATTTTGAGTTTATGAGAACTTTTGTGTGTGGATTTCAAGTGTCTAATTATAATACCCACCTTGCATGGAGTTTGTGTTTTTCTTTAATATGGCCATTTTCATGTCCATTTCTCAAGTTGTCTGGTTTCTGTTCATGGTACTGTGTAATAGAGTTTGTTAATATCAATGTTACTGGAGAATATCTATATTGGATGGTGATGATCCTCCTTGTGAATCATTTATGTTGTGTTTGGTTGAGAGATTTGAGGAGAGATTCGGAAAGGAAAATGGAAAAGGAAGGTAAAATTTGAATGAAACATACCTATATTTTACCTAGTTTCACACACCTTTTCTCTGTTTCTTTTCAAATCTCTCCCCAAATCTCTCAACCAAACACAACATTAAGCTTAATATATTTTTACTTTTTTAAACTTTTTTTTTTTACTTCTTTTTCTTGTGATTATTTATAGAGACCAGTGACCTAGGAAAAGCGACCGTATTTGGTAGGAAAGGTTGTTTGTATAGGTGTGTTAGAACTAATAAATTTACGGATACATAATCAATTATATTATATACAAGTAGAGCAATTTGAATGAAACTGCATCTTTTATGGCCAGCATTCCTATCTGATATGTAATTGGATTATTTTGTATAATTGGTTTTGTTGTTGGTTTTCTGTCCATAGATTTGTTGGGGTTGAAGGAAAAGAAACCGACAACATCACTGCGTTTGGTGTCCCCTTCGTTCAACAATTCTATGGAATATAATAATCACAAACCAAAACAAAAATAATCTTATTCATAAAACATCAACAACCCGTTTGGATTCAACTATTTGTTGAGAAACAATAATACTTTGTTGCTCGAAATTGTTGGCTCGAAATTGGCCTGAATATCCAAAACGATATCGTTTTGGGTATTTATTTATTCCTTTTCTTCCTCTTGCTTTCAAATACAGAGGGAAGAGAGAGAGAGAGAGAAGAGGAGAGGCGAAATTTCTCTACTTTTTTTTTTTCCCTTTCCAGTAGATCTGGATCTGAGGATGAAGGGAAAATTTTTTTTTTTTGTTGATGATGATGATGAAAATTATGAAGATCTGGAGATGATGATGATGTTGATGATGATGATGATGATGTTGATCTGGATCTGAAGATGTTGATTTCAAAATCTGAAGATGAAGGAAAAAAAAAAAAAATTTGTTGATGATGATGATGTTGGTGATAATGTTGATGAAGATGTTGTTGCAAACTCTGATTTCAAAATCTGAATCTGAAAGGGAGAAAAAAAAAAAAAAAAAATTGTTGATGATGATGATGATGGTGATGAGTTAAGAACTGAAAACGCAACTCACTCTCGTGGGTGTGCCCCCCCTCCTCTCTCTCTCTCCACACATAACCCACCTTTTGCCTCTCTTTCTGCATCATCTTCACTTTGATCTTATTCTCTCTCTTGTGGAAAAATGGTGAAAGAAACATAGTACTATGAATCTATGATGTCAAACGCGAAAAAAAAAGAAAAATGATTGGTGGCCCTAAAAAATTTGCCCCTAATGCCCCTAATTTCCATTTTTGGAAACTGTTTCTTTTTTTCTTTCTTTTTTCCTTTTTTTTTTTTTTTTTTTTTTTTTTTTTTAAAGGGATTTTTGGGGTATTTATTGCGAATTTACTGAGTAATTTACTAAGAATTTAAAGGGAATGTACTGAATAATTTACTGAGAATTTAATGTAGCCTTTTTTTTTCTTTTTTCTTTTTTTTTTCTTTTTTTGACTTTGTGTATTATTTTTTTTGTTTATTTTATTTTTTTAGGGTGGTTATATGTAGGAATGTATCAAAAAAATTAAATATTTCGTACCAGTTCATCGTATAAAAATATATAAAATTAATAAATTGATCAGTCAATTTTGGATCAGTCAATTTTATCACTCAACCAGTCTAACCTAATTGATTGATCACTGCTGGTTAAAATTTATTAATTTCATATAATTTTGTATGATGAGTTGGTACGGGATGTCTAATTTTTTGGCACACCCCTACATATGACTACCTTTAAAAAAAATAAAAATAAATAACACAGCCCAATAAATAAAATAAAATAAAATAAAAAAATTTATCAGTCAATTTTATCATTCAATCAGTCTAACCCAACTCACTTGCAAAATATCTAATTTTTTATCACATCCCTATACATAAACTATCCTTGCAAAAAGAAAAGAAAAAAAAAAAAATACCAAACTAGCTGTCTTAAGTTAAAAAAAAAAAAAAAAGAAGAAGAAGAAGATTCGAGGCAAATTCGAGGCCTCAGATTCAAGGCCTCAGGCATTTCCCAAAAAAAAAGAGAAAAAAAAAATCAATACGATATCGTTTTGGTGTCGGGTCATTCGCGTCTTTTCTTATTTCGAGCCACCAACCGGAATTGGTTGAGAAATGATATAAAAAAAAAGAAAGAAAAGAAAATCATGTTTGAAAAATTAAGTGAAAAACAATGAAAAATGTTGAGAATAAAAAGGGAAAACAACTTTTGTATTATGTTAGTTTCATTTTTCATCAATTCGGTATTTGGTTGAGGGATTTAGAAAGAGATTTGAAAAAAAAAAGAGAAAATATGTGAAAAATTATGTGAAATGTATATATATATTATTCACATTTCACCTCCATGTTCCCTTTTCCATTTTTCGTTTCCCTTTTCAAATTCATTCCTAAATCTCTCAACCAAACACAATATAAAAGAATACTGAGATTTGATTAGGAATAAAATTAATTAGCCTTATACATTCAGAACATTAAAATTGTCTGCTAAAATACAATGTAAGAACAAAATATAGGGTCTGTTTGGTAACCATTCCGTTTTCAGTTTATATTTACAAAAATTTAAAAAATTGTCATAAAAACTTAAATGGTTGTCTCAATTTATAATTTTGAGGAAAAAACGTAAACTCAAAAAATGAGTTTACGTTTTTAGTTTTCAATTTTTTTTTTCAAATAATTTTTTTTTTCAATTAATTATTTTTTCAAATAATTTTTTTAATTAGTTTTTTTTTCAAATAATTTTTTTCAAATATTTTTTTTAATTAATTTTTTTTTCAATTATAATGTGTGTGATCCCATTGTCATAAATAATAAAAATAAATATAAATATTTTAGGGCTGAACAAACATATTTTTTAGTTTGTGTTTTTAAATTTTTTTAAACATTTTGTTCAAGCCAAACGGGTTTATAATTTATGTTTTTCTAAAAATAAACAAAAGTCAGTTTATAAAATTTTTGTAAACATAAATAAAAAATGTAAATGGTACCAAACGCCACCATTACATTCCTATTTCTATTTCACATATTTTGCCTTTTCACTTAGGCCATGTTTTGTGGGCAGGGACTAGATTAGTTGGGATTAATAAATTTGTTGGTATTTAAGTTTTAAAATTAGAAAAAATTATTTATGAGTCATATTTGGAAAACTTATTTAATGTGAAATCCTATAAATATTCTTTTACTGTTTGAAATCCTCTTTAATAGGAATGTGTTCCACAAGGTCATATGAGTTGTAAATGAATGATATTAGTGTACTATTATACCTTTAATTTGTTTTCATATTATACTTTATTTTATCATTCATCATATCACGTTTGGAAAGGTTTTTAGAAAAGACAAGTTTACAAGCAACAACCGTAAGAGTTTTTTTTTTGCCTCGATTGCGGGATTCCAATGCATTTTCAAAATGTTGCTTAAATGAATGTGGATGTGATCAATGATATGAAGTTTGAGGGTTGTGTGTTGATTCCTTCAACAGATTTCGATTCTAATATGTTGAGGGGAAGATGTATGTTTTTTTTTTTTGAAGTGTGTTGTTGTTTGTTGAAGTGTGGATTGTTCATCTTTATTAGGGCATTGACAATCTATAACATTTATTGATAGACACACTTTGGCCAATGTTCTGATTGCATGTGTGTATTTGACATTGTGATGGTTGATGCATTTTGATATGTTTGATGTGTGGGGTGGTGTGTATGGGTTCAAAGGTTGGGTTGGGGATATTTGGTTTTGATTGTTAATTGGATGTCGAATGTAAACCACGTCATGACAATTGTATATTAGGACCTAGATGATCGTATTACAATACATGTTATATTTAGTGTGTAACGTTAATCCACATATATCATGTAGTACATGACATTTGTGTGTTTCTTCGGTTGTATATGTGTTTGAATGTGTATCTTGTTTTTGTTGTAATCAGCATTTACATACATGTCACAGTATGTTGCACAAAATTATTGGAGATTTGGATTCATAATTGAATATGGATTGAATTCCATCACTCAATGTTGAAGTTATGCTAGGTTGAGGGTGATGGTGGTTGAATACATGGTTGGAATATTACATGTTACAGTTAGGAGGTTACACTATTCATAATTCAACGGTGGAGTATTGGAATGTCACGTTGAGTTTGGGATGAGAAGCATATGGGAATGTTGGAGTTTGGGATGTTACATGTTACATTTACGTTATGTTTGGGATAAGAAGCATATGAAAATGTTACATTAGATTTGGGAATGTCACATTGAGTTTGGGATGTTAGATGTTACATTTATGTTTTGAATTTCAAATTTTCAACCATATAGATATGATCGCAATATATGGTAACATTGGATTTCTCATATATGGTAGTGTCGTTAATCAAGTTATTTTGAATTTTAGAAGCATATGGAAATGTTACGTTTGGTTTGGAAATATCACGTTGGGTCTGTTACATGTCACATTTACGTTTTGAATTTCAAATTTTTAACCACATAGATATGATCACAATCTATGGTAATATTGGATTTTCTATATATGGTGTTGCCATTATTAGGTTATTTTGAATTTCAAATTTCTAACCATATAGATATGATCACAATCTATAATTGGTATTGTCATTAATTAGGTTATTTTGAATTTCAAATTTCTAACCATATAAATATGATTACAATCTATGGTAACATTGGATTTTTCATATATGGTATTATCATTAATTAGGTTATTAATTAATTAAGATTAGAGATAGATATGTCCACAAGAAAACCACAGAACCTATTGGGTTATAAGTTTTTTCATAGAACCATATATTTTATAAGTGTTCCAAATAGAGCTTATAAATAATTTACCCTTAAAATTATTAATATTTTTAAATTGTGTATTATATGTTTAAAATTATAAATATAAGGTTACTTTTGTAATGTCACTCAATTC